AATTATTACACTTTTTATATTAATTAATATTTAAAAAAGTAAAAATTAACTTTTATTTAAAAAACTGTTTAATTAAAATAATTCACATGACATTAATAATGAAATTAATAACAATTTTATATTTTTTAGTACTAATTAATGTGAAAAGGATGCAATAATTTCACCTTAAAATACAAGTAAAAAAAAAACCTTTAATTTCTTAACCTTCCAATTAAATTTATCTACTTTAAAATAATACTAAAACTAATATCAATTTTTATATTTATATATATAAAAAGAAGAATTTATGTTAGAGTTATGTAAGAATTTAAATAAATTTTGGACTAGAATAGAACCAATCCAAAAAATTGAGTGACCAATTCAGATATTAAACCAAAACACAAAAAGGCCCTGAAGAGTTGATCACGTAAAAAGGACAAGGTAAATGGAAGAAAATAATTAAACAGAGAAAGGGAGACCAAGTTTTTGTCAGTGCAGTGAGGGAAGATAGAGACGAGAGAGGGAGAAAGAGAGATAAAAAGCGATGAAAGGGAAGAGTAGAGAAAGCTGCAGCAGCTCTACTCTTTCTCTCTCTCTCACTACCAGATAGATCTCTCTCTGTCTCTCTAAACCTTGACCCTCACCCACACGACACGACCCGTCGTCTCCTTTTCCCTCCCCCCAAACACCAGAAAAGAGGAACAAGAATCTCTATGGTTTCTCGGTTCTGAGCCTAACTCATCCCGAGCTATGGGCTGCTGTGTATCAACGTTCCTCAAAGGACCAGACTCCTCGCACCACAAACAGACCGGCAACGGCCCTCCGCCGTCGTCCAACGGCGCGGCTTCCATTGGCGTTGGAGCGGGAGGTGTGCCGGATTTCGCGGAGTTCTCCCTCGCGGAGCTCAAGGCTGCCACTAATAACTTCAGCGCTGATTTCATTGTCTCCGAGAGCGGCGAGAAGGCTCCAAATGTTGTGTACAAAGGCCGGCTCCAGAACAATAATAATCGCCGCTGGATCGCCATCAAGAAGTTTACCAAATTGGCATGGCCAGATCCGAAACAGTTCGTCGTATGTTATTGAATCCGTGGAATCATTTCCATTTCTAGGGTTTCTATTTTGTTGATGTCGGTTGATTAATTTCCTTGGTTTCGTTTAGGATGAAGCTTGGGGCGTCGGGAAACTAAGACACAAGAGGCTGGCGAATTTGATTGGGTATTGTTGCGACGGTGATGAGAGGTTGCTTGTGGCGGAGTATATGCCCAATGATATCCTTGCAAAGCATTTATTTCACTGTACGTTGCTCCTTTTCCTTTTTGGTGTACAAAAATCCAATCTAGATGCAATTATCGGTTCCATCCTGGTCATAACTCTTTTTATGTGCCTGATGAATTTATTTCAACCTAAATAATCAGGTTTTCAACTACTTTTATTAATCTATAGTGCTTCAAGCAGTTAAATTCTTGCGTAATATTAAAATGAACATGATATCACGATTTCTTGCTATATTTTTCAATTGGACTGTGAATCTTTTAATTCTTGTTCATAATTGTGCTTGAAGATAATTTTAGTATGTACCTGCTTTACAGGGGAGAACCAGACCATTGAATGGGCCATGCGTTTAAGAGTTGCTATGTATATAGCCGGAGCTCTAGATTATTGCAGTAGTGAAGGACGTCCATTGTACCATGATTTGAATGCATATAGAGTTCTGTTTGATGAGGTGTTGTGATAAATCTCTTTTCCCAATGTTGATGTTTGTTTTATTCCACTATAGAGCAAAATGGTAAGTTCTTGAATGGTTTTGGGTATTGGCAGAATGGTGATCCTCGACTTTCATGTTTTGGCTTGATGAAGAACAGTAGAGATGGGAAAAGTTACAGCACAAATCTTGCCTATACGCCCCCTGAGTATCTAAGACATGGTAAGGTCTTTACCATATAAGATTATGAGTGTTGTTATTGTTTTCAAAGATGAAATTGAACACATGAAATTTTAATGTTCAAAGCTTTGAAGTTGCTAAAAGTATATTGGTCTCCTCAACCTTGCAACTGACTTACTAATTAGAAAATCATTATTGGAATGGGCTCCTCTGCTGGATTTTTTTTTTTAAAATTATGTAGTAATACACATGTCCAATCTTATGTAGGAAGGGTTACTCCTGAAAGTGTTATCTTCAGCTTTGGAACTGTCCTTTTGGATCTTCTTAGTGGAAAGCACATTCCTCCAGGTCATGTGAGTGGTTACTTTTGAGAAATTCCTTGTCCTATCATATGTGTGATCAACATGCCATGTGGTTTACTGGTTGCACTAACTCATCTATTTAAACTTGCTAGTTGAATGCAGGGTAAGAGTGATAAATGAGAAATAAATACATTTTCAAATTGTTGGCACTGATCTTAAGGCTGATTAAAACTAGAACCATGTGTATTAGCCTTTTGACTGGTACAGCCTTCAATTTTGAACTTGCAACTTGGCAGTATGATGCTATATCTGAAGAATGAATAAACCTAATTATTTTGTTTCTAGTTGTATATTTCTTCTTTTCCTCAGTTATTGATTTTCCAAAGCTTTAATTTGTGGAGAGTTGATTTCTGAAACATTTCTCAGTGTTCATATATTTCTGTGGCTAACATTCATATAATTTGTCTATTCAGGCTCTTGATATGATACGTGGCAAAAACATTCTTCTGTTAATGGATTCTCATCTAGAAGGAAACTTTTCGTCGGAAGAAGCAGCAGTGGTCTTTGATCTTGCCTCCAGATGTTTACAATATGAACCTAGGGAGCGACCAAATACCCAAGATCTTGTTGCCACACTTGCTCCACTGCAAAATAAATCAGATGTAAGTTGTCTATTTGTCTCCCTTTTGACTTACAAATTCATCTCACTTGGGTATTGTGAACATTTCATGCTCTTTTTCTGAATGGTAGTGGGCATTGTGATTCTGTGAGCTCTTTTTGGGCAGTTATTATCATGATGCCCGGGCTGGGTATTTATTATTCACCATTTGGACTTGATTGGGTAATTATCTTCACTCTTTATTTTGTCTAGTACCAGGACGTTGAGCTCTCTGTTTGTCTTCTGCTTTTTTATTTCCTTTTGTCTTTCATTTAGTTGCGCTCAAGGAATTAGTTGGGTAGAGTTTGTGGGAAGGAAGTATAGACTTGATGGTGGTTTTTTTGTACATTCATGTTAACCTTCTTGAACCTTGACACTGCTGTCCGGAATCACCATATGGTTAAGATATTTTCTTTTGTTACTAGCTGTTCAAAGTAGGATTTCCTTTTCTCTTTTTGTTTCTCCCTCCATTGTATGAGACTTTGAGTGATATGATTGATTACTCTCAGGTTCCATCTCATGTGATGCTTGGAATTCCAAAGCTTGAGGAAGCACCTCCTACTCCACAACACCCCCTTTCTCCTATGGGTGATGCCTGTGCAAGGATGGACCTCACAGCTATCCACCAGATTTTAGTAACGACACATTACAGAGATGATGAAGGAACTAATGAGGTAAATTGAATTGTACGCATGTATATTTGTGGATGCATATGTATGTTGCAGTATTAAATTCTTATTTCATTGTGGATTTTACTTCAGCTATCATTCCAAGAGTGGACCCAACAAATGAGAGATATGTTGGAGGCAAGAAAGCGTGGGGATGTAGCCTTCCGTGACAAAGATTTTAGAACTGCTATAGACTGTTATACACAGGTATATGCCCTTCATATTAACTGTGATGAGATGAACAATATTGTGATTGGAGGTCTGTTGATTGCTATGGCTTGGTCCTTGGAGGATTCTGAGTTGATGTTTTGCTTTTGTCTTTTGGTCCATAAAAGTATTAATTTTATTTCTATGTGCAGTTCATTGATGTAGGGACCATGGTTTCTCCAACTGTATATGCACGGAGAAGTCTTTGTCATCTTCTCTGTGACCAACCTGATGCTGCACTCCGAGATGCAATGCAAGCACAATGTGTATACCCAGACTGGTCCACAGCATTCTATATGCAAGCTGTTGCCCTTGCCAAGTTGGACATGCACAAGGATGCAGCTGATATGTTGAATGAAGCCGCTGCCCTAGAAGAGAAAAGGCAACGAGGTGGAAAGTGATTTTGACAATCAACTCTGGTAAGTAATTAATTCTTTTCTAATGTGATTGTTGTAGTAATTCACGTATAATTGGGTTTGTGGTGTCCATCCAAAATTGTACCATAGAGGGAGGGAGACACTTGTTTTGCTCTTTCTGTTATTATTATTTTTTCCCTTTGTGATTTTGATGAAATAAGTAATTGGTCCTCTTATCCACGGAAGAAAGAAGAATGAAATGAATGAATCAATCTTCCGTCTTCCAGTCGTATGATATGACTGCTTTAACAAGATGTAGGGCCTTTGATGAAATAAAGTAATTTTTCTTTACCGTGAAATGAGGAATATCTACATCTAGCCACTAACTTCTGAGAGCAAAATCTTAACAGCATGATATTCTTAAACTGCTCCTTCAATGGTAACCTCTGCTATGATGTTTAATGCCACCATAAAGCAAACAAAGAAATTAAAAAAATGAGAAAGAAAATTAAGAATTCATATGGGACAGAACCTTCTGGAGCTCACTGCCACGACCTTCTCTGGCTTGATTCACGCTCTCCACTCAGGTCTCTGCTTTTCCTTCTTACTTCATCTCCTAATTTTCCCGATCTCCTGTTCTCTCTCGACCTTTTGGAGCTTACGGCCACAACCAATGGGAGAGATTATAAGTGTTCAGTCCAAATCTTAATACAGTAGTTTAGTTGTTAAGAGTTTGACATTTTAAGTTGAAAATCTCAAATTTGAGTTTTGAGTCAGAGGTGAGGAGGGATTAAGAAATAGAAAAAAGTTATATTCCCTTATATAACTCATAATCAAATGTACAAAAAAAAAAAAAAAATTGTTCAGTCACAACTTATCCGACCTGATTCACCGTCCCCATTTCCATCTCCTTGGCTCTTCCTTTTTACTTCATCTCCAAATTTTCTCAATCTCTTCTCTTTACGCGAACGGATCTGTTGCCGGAGATAAATCCGCCGCCATTCTGATCGTCAGCAACAATTACCAAACGGCCTTTGCCTCTTGAGGTGTGTAGAAACAATGACGGATTTAAAACTTGAGTCCGGAGGAAGCGTGGGAAGGGTTTCGGGCTTGGGCGTGATAGACCGTTTAGCGGTAAAGGCGATAAGCCAATATGGTTTTGTTTGTGTTATTCTTTCTGAACATAAACTGTAACAAAAAAATGAGAAAATAATTATTAAGGATCATATTCTCGGGATTGAACCCGACGTGAATCCAACACGCAACCTTCTGATCTGGAGTCAGACGCGCTACCATTGCGCCACGGATCCTTGATGATTTCATTCGGATTCAATCCTATTCTTGATAGTAATTTAAAATCCCTAATTCTAATTCCACTCGACATGCACCATCATTATTTTCAACGCCATTGAATTTTTAAAATTATATGTATCATATGCCGAGAAAGTGAATTTCACGGAAAAAAGAAGCAAGAATACACGTGAAAATACAGGATTTTTTTTTTTTTTTTATATTACGGTTATCTTAAAGAATTGAATATATAACTCAAAATGGAACCATTTCCTCGTCACCAATTATGCAAATCAGATTCTGAGCTATATTCCTTGTACATTCATTCCCTCATATGCCTAAAATGAAATGATAAATTGGCTTTATGTGTATATAAAAACTTTATATGATACAACAGGAGAAAACACTATCAATCAGGCAACATATAACTCAGCTTTTCCATCAATGAAGAGGCTCATAAACTCTTCTCCATCAACAGTTTCTTTCTCTATGAGGAGTTGAGCAAGCTTGTGCAGAATGTCGATGTGGGTTGTGATGATCTGCTTGGCCCTTGAATATGCCTTCTCTACTAATTCTCTTACCTCTGAATCCACTACATCAGCAGTTGCCATTGAGTAGTCCTTTTGCGATGACATCTGGAAATCACAAATGCAATTGTCAGTGGCAAGGATGGTGAATGGCGTTGAAGTTCAGGTGATGACATAGTTAGATCTAAATTCAAGCACGCACCTGCTGCCCAAGGAAGGGATTTCCACCAGGTCCACCAATGGCAACTTGTCCGATTTTTTTGCTGAACCCAAATCTCTCAACCATCTGTCTTGCCACCCGTGAGACTTGCATGAAGTCATTAGATGCTCCTGTTGTAACATTTTCCGGGCCAAAAATAACTTCTTCAGCAACCCTGCATTAGCAATGAGGCATCATTAAGAAATGGGGTAGACCAATAGAATTTAGCATGAGGCATATGAACTACTTGGAGATCCCCCATCATCACTTTAATGATTCCTAGCTTCATTAAAACCAAAAAGGGACCTTAAGGAGGCACTTGACTAGCGGGACAAGGGTTGGTTGGAATTTAATGTGTCCCATGCCGTTTACCAGATTTCAAGAGAACTGATGGAGCCCCATAATTGTGAGACAATCACAATTGAAGACAAAACCCATTGAAAAGTGTAGTTTTTTCATCCCACCCATAAGACCATGGTCACATGCGTTGCTCTTTAAGCATTAATGGATATAAAGTTGACTAACCTTCCACCAAGTGCAACAGCCATTTGATTCTCTAAGTAGCTTCTGCTGTACAATCCAGATTCAAGCCTCTCTTCACTCGGTGCAAAAAAGGTGAGACCACCAGCTTGGCCACGTGGAATTATAGATATCTTGGCTACAGGATCATATTCAGGCATAAGAGCACCAACTAATGCATGGCCAGCCTCTGCAAATTTAAGATCATTACTAAAAGTCATTACCCAAAACTGAAATCATAGAGAAGGAAGAAACAAGGAAACGAGAAAAAGTTCAATGTCTACCATGGTACGCAACCAATTTCTTCTTCTCATCTGAGACAACAGCATTTTTCTTCTCCGGCCCAGCAATGATCCTCTCTAAAGCATCAGAAATCTCATCTTTGCTTATTTCCTTGAGATCACGTCTGGCTGCAAGAATGGCTGCTTCATTCATTAGGTTCTGCAAATCAGCTCCAGTAAAACCGGGCGTTCTCCTAGCAATCTTATCAAAGTCAACATCCTTTGCAAGTGCCTTTCCTCTAGAGTGCACCTGCAACATAGGAAGATTGCATTGATGTCATTAATCTGCAATTACACTAAGGTAAGAACTTAAGCTTCTCAGTTGTTCAGAAACATAATTTCACAGTTAATCAGAAACATAATTTCACAGTTAACTGGCATTCTCTCTCAAACAGAAACCAGACAAGCAATGGTCCAATAAGGAATAAAATGGCACATCCTAAGCAGATATACTCTATACTAGAAAACCATAACATGTACAGGGAAATTTATATATAATGACATCAAGGATCAAGGCAATGCAGGGTAGGTGATGATATCTATATGTTGCAATATAAATGGTGCTCTAAATTATATATATATATATATTTTCTCTTCCAATGTTCACAATTTTCTATATCAACTTACTTTGACATGTCAACTGCAATGCAAAACCAAGTAAGCAGATTCACAAGGAGCTAACCTGAAGGATCTTGACTCTACCAGCAACATCTGGCCTATCCACCGTCACCTGTCTATCAAACCTTCCAGGCCTCAACAAAGCTGAATCAAGAACATCCGGCCTATTAGTAGCAGCCAAGACAATAACACCTGAATTCCCTGAAAATCCATCCATCTCTGTCAATAACTGATTGATGGTCTGCTCTCTCTCATCATTCCCTCCTCCAAGACCAGCTCCCCTCTGCCTCCCCACAGCATCTATCTCATCAATGAAAACAATGCATGGAGCCTTGGATTTCGCCTTCTCAAACAAATCCCTCACTCTTGAGGCACCTACTCCCACAAACAATTCCACAAACTCTGATGCTGCGCAGGAGAAGAATGGAACCCCTGCTTCTCCTGCTACTGCTCTTGCCAACAGCGTCTTTCCAGTACCAGGAGGACCAACCAATAGACACCCTTTCGGAATCTTAGCTCCCAAAGCTGTGTACTTATCTGGGTTCTTCAAGAAATCAACAACTTCTTGCAATTCCAGTTTTGCCTGGTCAGCTCCAGCAACATCACCAAATGTAACCCCAGTCTCTGGCACTTCCTGAAACTTGGATTTTGATCTTCCAAAATCCATTGGTCCGCCAAGTCCACCCGGACCACCAGAACCACCTTGAGCCCGACGTAAGAGGAAGAACAATCCAGAAAAAGCAAGAAGCGGAAAGAGCAAATTCCCTAGAATATTGAAAAGCCCATTACCAGAATCGCCTTCCGAGACAGAAATATCAACGCCATTCATGGCCAAGATGTCTATAAGGTCGGGGTCATTAGGAACAATCACGGTGGCACGGCGGCCGTCCACTGCGGTTAGCTGGATGGCAGACCCATCTTTGCTAAACCTCACTCGTTCCACCTTCCCCTTCTTAACCGCATTCAAAAACTCACTGTATCGCCATTGACTGCCTTCGGGAAGATCAGAAGACTGGGACTGGGGTTTTGGGGCAGTCAAGAGGACGTTTTGAGAAAAGGGTGAGGAACTTTGGGTAGGGTTGGTCGGTTGCGCTTGGAATACAGGCGGCGGGGTCGGCGGAGAGTTGTCAACGGCTAGGGCTTCTGGGGTTAGAGGAGAAGCTAAGAGCAACGCTGCTAAGGCGGCCTGAGATTGTAAGGATTTCAAAGGTTTCTCTGAATTCGGTTTCCTGTTGAGGATTGCTTGAGGAACTTGCAGCTTTCTTCTTGTTTTGGGAGTCGGAGGGGAAAGCAAGATTTGGGGGGTTCCCAAAAACAGGGCTGACGCCATGGGAGGGATTCACTATCTCTTCCAAAATATATGTAATGTTGGCCTGAGAAGGGAATTTCCGAATTTGTAAGAGAATTGAGAAGATGAAAGTCTACAGTTTTTGAGGGTTTTCACTTCAATTTTAACGGGGCAAGCAAAGGACTTTGATGATGGAACGCCATTGATTCAGGTGTTGCTCGGATTGTATCTACGTGTATAGCATAATATCCAGACATTCTAAAAATCT